TGCTTCTGATATTCACTTTAAGTCATACAAAGTCTTTTACTTTCTTTTGATCATGCCTTGTAAGTTTGGTTTAAAGCCAAGCATGATGTCTTGAGTGACAGAACTGCAGTAAATCGACCTTAGCTTTAGATTTGTATGTTGAATAGACGACATGCTGCTCTGTTTAGTGCTTCATGTAGCTTTAGGTGTCATCATTTCTCTAGCATCCTTATTTTTCTTTCCTCTGTTGACTTTGGCCTCCTGAGGCATCCTCTTGCTCATAGCTAGTCTGTGGCTTTCAAGTGTCTCTGCTGTAACACATGGTTATCATAGCTGGGTGTCCTGGCTAGGTGTGGGGGCAGGGGAGTACTATTTTGTCTTCTGGCTAAATCTTGGTTTCTTAATGGACCTGTTTTGGGGGCTGTCACCTTCACAAGTGTTTCTCCAATGCTGTGACTTTCCCCCCTGACTGCATGGTCCCTGTCTGGGCCATTCCTAATCAATTTCATGGAAAAATTGACTTTTAGTTTCTATATTCACCATATGAGCCAGGAAGCCGGAGGATGAATGAAGTGAGTAAGAATTCCCTTCTCTTAGTTTGGACAAGGTATTAGAGCTCTGCCCTGGCAAATCCTTCCTCTTGGCATATAGGTATTTCTTTCTTTATTTTTTATTGGCTGCTCAAAACATTACAATGATCTTGACATATCATATATCATACATTTGATTCAAATGGGGTATGAATTCTTATTTTTACCACATGTACAAATTGCAGGATCACGTTGGTTATACTTCCACATTTATACAAACTGCCATACTAGTGTCTGTTGTATTCTGCTGCCTTTCCTATCCCCTTCTTATCCCCCTCCCCTTCCCTCCCATCATCTCTCTCTACCCCATCTACTGTAACTCATTTTTCTCTCTTTTTTTCCCCCTTTTCCCTCACATCCTCTTATATGTAATTTTGTATAACAATGAGTTTCTTACAGAAAAGGCTCTATGTGTGTTTCACAAAGGATGTTCCTTACCCTCCCCAAGCCATGGCAATGGAAGAACGTTTGTTAGATCCTTTCAATACAACCTCATGAAGTTCCTTTTAATAAAGCCTGTGAATGTGTGGGGCCCCATAAGACAGTAACTTCCAGCATTTTGTCTGGTTCACATGGGTTCTCACTCAGTCTTGAGCAATTTGGCAAAATTACCATTAAGTTGGTTTTACGTTCTCCACAGATAGAGAACAAATAGATTAATTTATTGTTTACTTGATTGTTATATATATAACACCAGCTCACTAGGGTGAATATAGAGACTGGCAACTACAGAGACTGTCAAGTCCATTCTGCAGTGTGGTCCCACAGGCTCAAAACCCAGAAGAATCAGTGCTGCAGACTGGAAGGTTGTCTTCTGGAGAATTCCTTCCTGCTTAGGAAGGCCAAACATTGGCTCCACTCAGGCCTCCAACTCATTGGGTAAGGCCCACTGACATTGCAAAGGGCAGTCTGCTTTACCCAAAGTTCACCAATTTAAATGCTAATCTCATCCACAAACATTCTCTCCACGTTGACACATACATAAAGCTGTCAGTGTTCCTATCAGATTGTGGCTTCAATACTCATCAGTCTGCTCAGTAAGCAGAATGTGGTTGCCATGTCTCTCTTCTTTTAAACATTTTTTTTAATATTTATTTTTTAGTTTTAGGTGGACACATATCTTTATGTGATGCTGAGGATTGAACCCAGTGCCTCGGGCATGCTAGGCGATCACTGTACCACTGAGCCACAATCCCAGCCCTGCCATATCTCTTTTAATTTACTTGTCTTCTAAATTTCAGACAGTCGTTTACCCTCTGATCCTAGTTCTCCAAGAAAAGTCACTGATTTTCAGTTTGTGCAATTTTTCTTGTAAGGATGAGAATAATGCCTCAACCTCCTTGGTTTATTCTTAACTCATTGTTACAGTTTAGATATTAGGATTTCCCCAAAAGCTCATGTGTGAGACAATGTAAAAAAGATTAAAGGTGAAATAATGGTTATGAGAGCCTTAATCTAATCAGTGCATTAATCCACTGACTGGGATTAACCGGGTAGTAACTGTAAGCAGGTAGAGTGTGGCAGGAGGCGATGGGTCATTGGGGGTGTGCCTTTGGGGTATGTATTTTGTCTTTATTGAGTAGAACTCTCTCTCTGCTTCTTGGTGGCCATGTCCTGGGCCACTGTCCTCCTCCCACACTCTTCCTCCCTGATATTCTGCCTTACCTCAGGCACAGAGCTATCGATGGACTGAGACCTCTGAAACTGTGAGACCCAAATAAACTTTTCGTCCACTAATTGTTCTTGTCAGTCTCTTGGTTATAGCAGTGAAAAAGCCGAATAAAACACTCATGATATTTCTGAAAACAGACAGATTTCTTCACTGTTTTATAACAAAGAGATGAGGAACAATGTCCAACCACGGCCTTGCATCTTGTAGGTGTGGGCCTGCAAATTTACAGGCTGTGTTCTCTTGTGAAACATCTGGAGACAGATCTTTTGTGCTCTGAATAAGCATATTGGGCTTTCAAATCTTGAGCCTTAGAGAGAGTGCTTTTGACTTTACAATTCAAGTTTATACACTAAAGGATGCTTCTGTCCTTTCCATCTATCACATTCCACCATCATTTCTAACCCCATGCGCCCTCCCTTACCTTCCCACCCCTCTGCCCTATCTAGAGTTTGTCTATTCCTCCCATGCTCCCCCTCCCTACACCACTATGAATCAGGCTCCTTATTGTCAGAGAAAACATTTGGCATTTGGTTTTTAGGGATTGGCTAACTTCACTTAGCATTATCTCCTCCAACTCCATCCATTTACCTGCAAATGCCATGATTTTATTCTCTCTTATTGCTGAGTAATATTCCATTGGGTATATATATATGCCACTGTTTTTTATCCATTCATCTATTGAAGGGCACCTATGTTGGCTCCCACAGTTAGCTATTGTGGATTGTGCTGCTGTAAACATTGATGTGGCTGTGTCCCTGTACTATGCTGATTTTAAGTCCTTTGGCTATAGACTGAGGAGTGGGATAGCTGGGTCAAAGGGTGGTTCCATTTCTAATTTTCCAAGGAATCTCCATACTGCTTTCCATATTGGCTGCACCAATTTGCAGTGTAATTTGGGAGTTTTAGATGTCCATCAATGGACAAATAGATATAGAAAATGTTCTTTTATACACAATGGAGTTTTATTCAGCCATAAAGAAAAATGAAATTATGTTATTTGTGGAAAAAAATGGATGGAACTGGAAAACATTACGTTAAGTAAAATAAACCAGACCCAGAAACTCAAAGGTCGTATGTTTTTCCTCCAAATATAGTCATGCCCTGATATACTGATGACTTCATTACATACATTTTGTGGGGAACTCAATTCAACCCATGACAATGCAGCCACAGTGCTTTGACAAGTCAATCAATATTCTTGGACTTGGTCTCTCTTAGTTTTGAAAATCATATCATTCCATTGTTCCTAAAAACCTTGTTTAACTAAACATCTTTAATTTTTTCATACGTTATTACTCTTTTGCAATTTATTCTCTAGAATAATATCCTGTTGAATGTCACCATTATTTATGCACCTGATGAAAACTGGATCTTTGGAGCTACTGTGGATTCTTCGTTTTTCCTCTACCCCTGATCCAGCCAAGCACCTCTACCTGCTGAATGTCTCTTGTGACTTTTGCCTTCTCCTTCTTCTCTGGAGCATATTGGTCTCCTTGCCCTTTCCTCTGTTTTCAGTCACAAATCCCACCAGTTGATCCTCTGTATAGCGATAGTAGTGAATATGGTGGTGTTATTTCCTTCTCAGTGGGTAGTCAGTTAACTTACATCAGTTTTAGGATCTGCGTACTCCTCAAGTCTCAGTTCTCACCAAAATTTGCTTGTACTCTCCCCCGCCTCCATCAGTTTTCATTCCTGAAAATACTGACCTGCTTGTGGTCTTGGTGGTTGGACACATAATTTTTCCATTTGTCGGAAGTGGCTTTTCTCTGAAATATTTGTTCTGTAATATTTGTCAGTTTTTTGCAGCTGACATAGTTTTTCTCATGGAAGGCATATTGTAATGTCTGCTCAGGCACTGTAACAAAATACCATGGGCTAAGTGGTGTAAAAAACAGAAATTGATTTCCTTGTATTTCTGGAGTCTAGAAATTCAAGGTCATGGTGCTGACTGTGGCTCTATCCTCTGAGGCCTCGTTTTCCAGCTCACTGATGTTCACCTTCTTACTGCACCTCCACATGGTCTTTCTTCTATGCAGACTCCTAGTGTCTTTTTCTTGTTTTATAAGAACTCTGGTAAAACTGAATTAAAGCCCCACCCTTACAACTAATTTAACCTTAATTATATCATGATAGGCCCCATCTCTGAATATTCATTGCAGGATTAGGACTTCACCCATGAATTTGGAGGGAACTCTTCAGTTCATATATAGGGTCTCCTCTACCTTCCTGGGGTGGGCTTCCCCAAATCCATATAAACCCTCATTATCTAACTGGCTTTTAGCTATTGTGTTGCTATTTCTACCAAATCATAAGCACCTTAAGAGCCTGAGTTTCTTGCTTTCATCCTTAAAACTTAGTGCACGTTTGTTAAATGAATGTAATACAGAACAGCTTAGTAACAAGGAAGAAATAAAATATTGATTTGTTGAATTGTTGTTTCTACTGAGATTTTTCTAAATATGTAACTTCACTTATTTGATGTGAAAATCCCTTTCTTTTAAAAAATGTACTTCTTCAAATCCTAGATCCGTGTTCAACATTCTTCCATGCATAGGAAACTGTTTATCAGTTTAGCTGCTGGATGATTCAAATGTATTAAGTTCTGGGGGAAAATGTGAAAGAGAAATAATGTGGGCTTTGAAGTTTCCTCTGCCTTCTAGGAGTGTGCTTTACAGAGTGGAGCATTTCATCCAGCCATGTTATTTATCAGCTTTGTTGCTCCTACTTGAATTCCCACTTTCCTCTCCTCTTCTTTTCAGATAAACAAGCTGGAGGCACGCCTAAAGCAGGGGGGATGCAGGGATGATAAAGGGACTCACAGGAGAGACCGGGAGCACTGGATGAAAGAAGACTGCATTAACTGTACCTGTGAGGTATGTGCTGCCAGAGGTCTTTCTATCATTTTCCTGCTTTACTTCTTCTTGCCAGCCAATTGAAATGCACCTGAAAAATTCAAAAACAGGGGGAAAAAATTCTTTTTTTTGTGAGTAATTCAGGAATTTAAAAGAAAAAAAAAATTGTACAGTACAGGGGATTGAGGCCAGGGCCGTGAAAATGCTACATAAGCACTCTACCACTGAGTTATGTTCTCAGACTGTTTAAGGCATATTTTTAGGATCAAGAGACTGGTGTAGGATTTTTGAGACTTCTGACTATTTATATAAATGTGGCTATGATCTAATGAAGTGATTGCCAGACAGCATGTAGACCTTTCACATCTTCACTGACAGATGAGGGAGCAGGATCTAGGCAAGTGTAAGTCACTCATCCAAGGTCATACAAGTCAACTGAAGCAGAAGGGGATTTCGAGTCATCTCGTTATTCTCAACTCAGATCACCAAAAACACTGCCCGAAAGAGCTGGTTAGATAATGAGTTCCTATAACAATATAAAAATGATTTATCATAGTATCCACCATTTTTTTCATGCCCTAAATTTGTTGTTTAGTTTGCTTTCTGAATAGAGCTAATTCCCACCAGCCCTCTGGAAATGCATGAACTTCCTTAATGCATATCATGCTGTATAATACCAGAAGTCATGCATTATAGGGTTGTATTTCAGGCCTTGCTTTTCATGCTGCAAATGTGCAGAAAGAAAGGATGAATAGGATACATGTGCAAATATTAGCTCAGACCCTGGGCACTTTTTATCATATTTAGATATTCAGTATTTCATTTCATACTTTTTTTTTTTAACTTTTCAGAGTGGCCAAGTCACATGCATGGTGAAGAATTGTCCCTTGGCTCCATGTCTCAGTCCTGAATTGATGAAAGGAAGCTGTTGTCCAGTGTGCAGAGACCAAAGAATGCCAGCCGATGCCTCCAAGAAACACTAGCCAATATCTGCTCTTGAACCCTGAACAGAGAATTTCTCAGGGAGAGACACTTAGGAGTTCAACTTTTAACCTGGAGTCACATCCTTGATACGGAAACCACTGATTTAAGAACAAGCTAGTTCATTTAAACCTTAAACAAATTGAACATCTTTTATCTTTTCATTTTCTAATGAGCTTTGGAATAATGCAAACCTAAAAAGGGTATAAAGGGCATAGGAATGATTTCATCTTAAGGAAATTTTCTGATTGTAAGCCATAGGTTTTTAAATATAAGGTAGAAAATAAAAGAATATCCTGTAATAATTTTTTAAAAAATATGAGTACTCTGGAAAGTACCCATCAAAATTCAGAGATTTCATCATCTGAAGGAATTTTGGGAGAATGAGTTTTGCATGTGGAGAAAAGAACTATGAAAAATCTGTGACAATGTTGTGATGCTCTTCTCCCCACCCAACTCTTTTCTTAGATCTACATCCTTGGCAGTTGGCAGATTTTGCTGGGGAGGTGCTTGTCTTAACTTTCATTAGTTTCTAACTTCTGAGACATTAGGGAAAAGTCAGTGAAAGAATATCATTATTTTAGGGAGCTTGTCAGTTTTGCATGTGGCTGGAAAATGCAAACTCTATGCGAGAGTGACTTCAAAGCAAAATTTCTCAGTATCTGCCTTTCTCTTACTTGTCATTATTACAAGTCATGAGGTGTCAACATTGAAATATAGCCAAGACTGAAATTCAGGCGCAATATGAATTTACTATCAGAAAAATTGAAAAGTGTTCTTGACTTTTACAAAAGGTGTTCCTATGGAATTCTCCTGATTTTGGTGCTATTACAGCATTTCATACAAAACCCCATGATATTCAGTAAATTATGTGATTTTCATTTACTATTAGAATTGAAAATATGACATAAAATGTGATGTGCACCCATATGTGGGGGTCGGATGCAGTTGTGGGTAGACAGCTTTAAATGAAACTTTGTGCCAAAACTTCACATAGTGTCCTGCCAAGACAGGATCTCAGGGAGATAGCTTTACTGATTTCCAATCACAAAAGAAACTTTTAAAAACAGACATAATTTCCCCAAATTTAGAGTTATTATGCAACCTTCTTCTTGTGGTTTTAGTATCATGAGTGTAGGAAGATGTTTTGGAGTTTGATAAAATGAGTATTATAACTTAAACACATGCACTATCTTTTGCTTTCACATATATATTTGTATGTATATGTATTGGTGCTCGGGATTAAATCCAGGGCTTCACACATGCTAAGCACATGTTTTACCACTGAACTACACCCACAGCTTTATATTTAATGTGTCATTTTTAAAAGTCATATTGCACATGATAAAATTTTCAAATGTTTCCCAAGTTTATATCTATCTCTGCCCTCCATTTCTACAGTTCAAATATGATTACTCTTTTCAGTTTCAGGGTATGTGTATCTGTCTGTGTTGTGCATGTGCATGTTTCCATGTATATATTCTATGAAATACAAGCATTGACAGTGTTTCTTCCTTAGTAATTTCGTTTGTTATAAGTAAATTTAAAACATTGGAAAGCCAAGTGAATTTGTTAACATTTTAATATATGACATTATGCTACAACATCTACTTGAGATAACATTTATTGTTTCTTATGTGTGATGACACTCTTCTGATCTGGGACAAAAGAATTTAGTAGATTTGACATCCTCTACTTTCACAGGAAGGTGTATATAAAGAATGAAAAACATTCCTGGGTTCACTCTTTTTCAGATTTCTTCTAATTTAGAAAAACAAAAGTTTTAAGCCAGGCTGTGTGATTGCATGAGAGGGTTCAAAACTGTCTCCTCTTCAGGAGGACTTTAATTACTTTCCTAGGCCCCCTGCACATAAATGACCATACTGCACATAGAACAGCAGGACATGAAGTTGAAGGGGTACACACTACTTTTATTTGGGATTGGCAGTTGAAAATAGGGCACTTATCTCACAAATAATCTTTAACACTCAGGACAAATAACAGTTTACAAGAAAAATGAGTGTTTCTATTGATTTATTTGTTTTCTAGAACTGCGTTTATGGGTGAGGGCAAAGGTAGGGAAAATGGGTTTTCTGGTAAAGACTTTTAAACCATTTTTAAAAGTTAGGTTTAACTGTGAAGTTAATGTCTATTCACTGAACTGTACTTACTACAACTATCCCAGGACCAATGCCATGTGTATACATTCTAAGCTTCTGTTTCAAATAAAATATAGTTCATTAGTAGGTCAAATCAAGTTCAAGGACAGCTCATATAGAAATCCTTTCTACCATGTTCAGAGAAATATGCAATATTAAAAGCCACATTTAGTTGAATGTCCTCAAAAGTTATTGGCATGGTAGTTTATGAAAAATTACATAAGATCTGTTTTATGAATATACAAAGTGAGAGATGATATAGAGACAAATGATTCTAAAAGCCCATCTTAAATGTAACGTTGTAACTCTACTTTTAGTCCTTGTGTGAGATAATTCGATGACTTTTGATATAAGCACCAGAAATGAGTCAATATTTAAATCTTCATTTCAAGTATAAAATAGGAAAAAAGGGTATGTAATGTTTCTCAACATTATGAGGGCACATATCCTTTTCTATTAATAAACTTTGTAAAAGAATGAGACAGGGTTTCGCTAAGTTGCCCAGGTTGGCTTTGAACTTGTGATATTCCTGCCTCAGTCTCCCAAGTTACTGAGATTACAGGTGTACACCTCCATGCCCAGCTAACTTAAAAAAAATTAATTACACTTTTATTCGTGAGTGGGAAATGTACTATAAACTACTCATTCATTTTTTTTTACCTGGCTACGCATCAGTCATATTTTGGTTAAAGGAGTCTTGAAAAAGCTTAATTCTACGTGCGTGAATATATCTGATATGTTGAGAATAAATGAAGTTTTCTCAAGGAAGAATCTACCAGGATCTTTGTCTACCAAGAATGCATTTAGTGACCTCCGGAGGAGGGGGCATGTGGTGTAGTGCAGAGCCCAGACCTGAGTCTCGAGATCTTAGGATGTTGTTTCTAGAACTAAGAGGAGCTAGAATGAAAATATTTTTCTTATTGAGAATTACTAGTGAATTTTTAATTTGTAGAAATTCTAGTTGTGTTCCGATTTTAGATAAATAACATCAGGATCAACAATTCAAGTCAAGGCCACATAAGCTGAGACAGTTTACTGGAATGAAGCAGTTAACACCATTTAGGGGGAAAAGAGACTAAATTGAATTAGAAGAAAACTTGGGTTTTTAGAGACTTAGAATCTTCCAAAAGTTAAAAGAATCAGGTGTCCCTTTTAAATGAAAGCATATATAAGAGAAATAGCATGATTTTCTGTCAGAGCAGAGGAATACATGATCGACTTGGGAATCTCAGACTTGAGCAAGTGAGTAGGTTTCAGTTTGCTCACAAAATAAAGAAAAACAGTTTATAAAGAGAAAGCATCCACGCTGGATGAACAGGTATCTATGAGGAGAAGATTTTAGAGTCAGAATTGACAAGACAGGCCTGGGACCCACACAGCTATAGAATGATGAACCTGGAGATCCCAGGAATGAACCCAGCAAGAGGAAGAAGACAGGGACCCCACTGGCTCTTGTTAAAACAAAGCCCAGACTGTGGAAGTGCCAGGAACCTTCAGGAGATGTTCCATGTCCTAACTGCCTCAAATTGCTAACAACATGGAGAACTGACGGAACCACAATTCTGCTCTTCATATTTCTAGAAATGCTCAATAAGGATGACAAAAGCATGCAATGTGTAGTTGAACACAAGAGGAATGTGTGCCAATAGAATAAAAGATGAGCCAGGGACAAAATTATGTCAGATGCAGGGTTTAGCAGGTAGGGGATAGTGAATTTATAAAGGGTCATTAAACAAACAAAAAAACCCATAAACTAAGTCACTTCCATAGGATGTCCTTCCCCATGAATGAGGCCTGGAAACTGTGATCTGAGCCCAGAGATGCTGTAAGAAAGTTCTTTATTTAGAACTATTCATGGGAGCGAATCTCTCATAACATGAGGAGGTGTGTAGTCCAAACTGATACTAGCAATGAGGTGAGTGAATCTGCAGCCAAAAAACTAATAAAAATAGTTTCTTATACCAATAAAGAAATCAAAAGCCACATGAAGATACAGGTAATCCTACGGGTTAGTCAAGGATCACAACAAATAAGATTATCAGTATTCCATTTCTAAGAATTTGAGATAATAGAATATTATAAAAGAAACTACAATATTCAAACTTTAAAGTTGCAAAGAGATGAGAGGAGGGAGGGAGCCAGAGTAAAGCAGTCTACAACAAATTTTAAAGAGATGTGAAAAAAAGGAACATCTAAAAAAGAAAATTAAAACCAATAATATATAAGTTGATTCAGGCAGAAGATTTAAATAATATTAAAGAGAATTTTAAAAATGTAACATAGATGTATGAAATATGCAGAATATAAAGTGGTATCACAAAGAAAGAAAATGCTATTACAGTAAAATAATAAATTTCATACTGTTTTTAAATAAGGAAAAACTATTGAGATGAAAATATAACAACAATGTGAGATATTCAGAGTTTAACAATTCTAAAGTCATATTTTTGGTAAGGAAAAGGATCTTACACCATGTCCCAGCATTGTGTGCTCTTTGTGTGCGGTAGCCAAGAACCATCTTGAGAAGGGAGCTATTGTCCAAATTTAGACAACTTTAGGAATCAGAAATAGCTGCATATTTCTGTGACCCTGCTGACATCCTACAACAGGGGCTTGGGGGTAACTAACTCAGAAACTTAATTTGGCCCAGTAGAGTGACATAGATGAAAGTCCAATGGATGCTCTGTACTATTGGAAACAGGTGTGACATGGAAGTGAATGGGGAGTACCACCCTCAAGATCCAAGGGTTCAGTAGTAGACTCCAATACAATAGTAGTGGGGATTTAGTACCCCACTTTTATCAGTATACACACCATCCTAATAAAAAGTCAATAAAGAAACCAGATATGTCAGAAAAATATCAAATGGATTTAACATTTACAGAACATTCAATCCAAAAGTTTCAGAATATACTTTCTTTTAATTATTACATGAAATTCTCTTTAGAAGAAAGCATATATTAGACCACAAAAAAGTCTTAAAAATTAAAAAACATTAATGATATATCCCATATCTTTTTTATTGCAGTAAAATAAAACTATAAGAAAACAAGGAAATTTTAGAAATTGTACCAATGCATGAAAACTGAACAACACAGTTTTGAATAAATAGTGACTCATTAAGGAAGCCGTAAGGGGAATTTAAAAATTCTCAAAACAAGTAAAATGGAAGCACCATATATCAAAACTTGTGGAATGCAGCAAAAGAAGTCCTAAGGGTAAATTTATGACAGTGAATGCTCTATTAACAAAACAGAAGGAGTTCAAATAAACAACCTAATAATGAATGTCATGGACTTAGAAAACCAAGGACAAACCTAAGTAAAGGAAAAGAATAACAAAGATGAGAGCAGAAATAAAATAGAGGCCAAAACCACAAAAGATCAATGAAACAAAGTTCTTTGAAAAAGAAACAAAATCAGCAATTCTTTGGCTAGACCAAGTAGAAGAAAACAGAGAAGGCCAAGATAAAATTAGATGTGGAGAAGATATTACAACCAATTTCACTAAAATAAAAAGGATCATTAGAAGCTATTATGAAAAACTAATGGCAATATCTAGAAGAAATGGACACATTTCTAGACACATATAACCTACAAAAATTGAACTACTAGGGCATACAAAACCTGAATAAATTTATTAACAAGTAATGAAATTCAGTTGATATTAAAAGGTCTCCCCACATGCACCAAAAATATTCCCGATACAAATTGCTTCATTTCTGAATTTTACCAAACTTTTAAAAAGAAGTCTAATTTTTCTCAAGCTATTCAAAAACTAAAAGGGAAGGAACTTTTCCAAACTCATTTTATAATGTTATCATTATCCTGTTACCAAAACCATACAAGGACACAAAACAACAAGAGAACTATAGACCAATCTCCCTGATAAACATAAGTACAAAAATACTAGAAAATCAAATTGATAATATATTAAGAAAATTATTCACATGACCAGGTTGGTTTTATCCCATGGTGGTTCCACATACACAAATGAATAAATATAACACATCACATCAACAGAATGAAAGATAAAAAACATAATAATAATATATGCAAAAAATTTGATAAAATGCAACACCCCTTCCTGAAAAAAGCCTTGAACAAATTAGATATAGAAAGATTATAATTTCATGTAATAAAGACTATATATGACAAATCCACAGCTGGCATCATATAGGATAGGAAAAAGCTGAAAGCATTTCTTCTAAGATCAAGAACAAGAAAAGGGTGCATACTCTCACTGAATATAGCACTAGAATTTTAAGCCAAAGCAATTAGGCAGGAGGAAGAAATAAAAGGCACACAAATAGGAATGGTGGAAGTCAAAATATCTCTGTTTGTAGATGATTTGATTCTATGTATAGAAAAACCTAAAGATTCCAACAAAACCCCATTGAAACTCAGCAATGAATTAAGTAAGGTTGCAGGGCACAATATCATCATATCCAAGTTAATAGCTTTTCTGTACATCAATAATAAATTTTCTGAGAAATAAATCATGAGACAAATCAGGTCTACAGTGTTAATCTCATTAATAATACCTATGAAAAATATCTAAGAATTAGTTTAACCAAAAAAGTAAAATACTTTCTATAATGAGAGTTCAAATCACTGATTTAAGAAGAATCAAAGAAGGCACCAAAAGATGGTAAGACCTCCATGTTTATGGATTGAAAGAGTTATATGATTAAAATATCCGTACTAACCAAAGTGAAGTATAGATTCAACACAATCCCCATCAATTCCTCACAGAATTAGAAAACACAATACAAAATTCTCATGGACACACAAAAGATGCTAAAGATGCAAAGTAATCTTGTTCAAAAATAACTAATCTGGAGGCAGCACAATGTCTGATTAGAAGACATACTATAGAGACATAGTAACCAAAATAAGGTGATATTGTCATAAAAATAGGCACATATACCAATGGAATGGAGAATAGATCCCAGAAATAAACTGATGCATCTCCAGTCAACTTTTCTCAGTAAAGATGCCAAAAACATATATTGGAGAGAGGAAAGCCTCTTTAACAAATGGTGCTGGGAAAATAATATAAAAAAGGTCAAAGACTACAACTTGACCCCTAACTCTCACCTTGTGCAAAAGTCAACTCAAAATGTATCAAAGACCTAAAGTTAAGACTTTAGACTCTGAAAGTATTAGAAGAAAACTTAGGGGAAACAATTCAAGATAGAGGCACCGAAAATTTTCTGTGAAGACTCCCCAAAGCATAGAAAACAAAAGCAAAAAATGACAAATGAGATTGCAATCAACAGAATAACATGACAACCTGCAAAATGGGAGAACACATTTGTCAATGATTCATCTGATAGAGTAGATTAATATTCAGAGTATATGAAGAACTCAAAAAATAATTAACAACCCCAAACCAATGAATCCAATTTAAATATGTACAAATGACCAGAATGATCAAAATAGACATTTCTTAGAAGAGGAAATAAAAGTTGCCAACAAGTGCATGAAAAAAAAAAGATCTAAGATTATCCTTTAAGGGTCTTCCCTCATATGTAGAAACTATAGAGAAAAAAGAAGAAAAAAAGGCGGTAAGGCGTGGGGTGGGGAAATCTGATGAATATAGGAGATCAAGGGAAGGGGGTGGCACAGAATAGGGAAAAGAAAGGGAAGTGTTAGGGAATGAGATTAAGCAAATTTTACTGTTAAATACTATGTAATGTATACTATGTAATGTACAAATATGTAACAATAAATCCCACTGTGATGTATAATGCATAATAAAATGTAAAAAAATTTAGAAAAAAATCATTTCCATATATCAAAACACATAAAAAATATATATACATGTATATATATATATACATGTATATATATATATACATGTATATATATATATATATGCACATAAACATATACAAACACACCCAAATTCACAAATAAGACACAAATAATGCATAATGACACAGGAAAGGAAGCAATAGAAGGACAAAGATATGCCATATATTTACTGAATTTTAAAAGAAACTCACTATGATTTGAATTGTGTGCCTCTCCAAATTCATGTGCTGATGCCTTAACTTTCAAGTCCCTCAGAATGTAACTATATATTAGGAGACAGCATCTTTTTTTTTAAGTTTCTAAAATGCTTATTCTTTTTTTTATAATTTTTATTGTTGGTTGTTCAAAAAATTACATAGTTCTTGATATATCATATTTCACACTTTGATTCAAGTGGGTTATGAACTCCCATTTTTACCCCGTATACAGATTGCAGAATCACATCGGTTACACATCCACTGATTTACATATTGCCATACTAGTGTCTGTTGTATTCTGCTGCCTTTCCTATGCTCTACTATCCCCCCTTCCCTCCCCTCCCCTCCCCTCTTCTCTCTCTACCCCATCTACTGTAATTCATTTCTCCCCCTTGTTTTTTTCCCTTTCCCCTCACTTCCTCTTGTATGTACTTTTGTATAACCCTGAGGGTCTCCTTCCATTTCCATGCAATTTCCCTTCTCTCTCCCTTTCCCTCCCACCTCTCATCCCTGTTTAATGTTAATCTTCTTCTCATGCTCTTCTTCCCTACTCTGTTCTTAGTTACTCTCCTTATATCAAAGAAGACATTTGGCATTTGTTTTTTAGGGATTGGCTAGCTTCACTTAGCATAATCTGCTCTAATGCCATCCATTTCCCTGCAAATTCTATGATTTTGTCATTTTTTAATGCAGAGTAATACTGGAGATAGCATCTTTAAAGAGGTGACTTAAGTTGAAATTGGGTTATCGGGGTGAGTCCTGATCCAAAATTATTAAGGAATTAAATTCTTCGGTGTAGTTTTCTTAATTTACAGACTGTGATGATGATACATTGAGAAACCTAAAGGAGTCAGTGAGGATTGGATTGTTAGAATCACATTTCATCAC